CACGTCAGCTTCTCCGTGCGTCAGAGTCCTCCGCACGTCAGCTTCTCTGTGCGTCAGAGTCCTCCGCACATAAGCTTCTCTGTGCGTCAGAGTCCTCTGCACGTCAGCTCCTCCGCACGTCAGCTTCTCCATGCGTCAGCTCCTCCGCACGTCAACTTCACCGTGCGTCAGAGTCCTCCGCACATTAGCTTCTCCGTGCGTCGGAGTCCTCCACACATCAGCTCCTCCACATAACATACATCGTCGGATATCCTAACTGGGGCATTAAACGCAGTAAATTTCTGGTACAATTATACAATTTAATACAATGCCCATTACAAAAATTTACTAATGCACATTAACGCATGTTAGAGCTAAAGTTTTACGAATATGCCAATACAGCGTCTTAATTAAAAATGCCGGAGTTCCTTTTAACTTTCTTCATTTCTGTAATTGGTTATATGGCATTAAAACAAACGATATTTCTTGACATCGATGTTTACAATAACATGAAACACCGTCAAAAATTACCACAATGTAAATAGAAGGAAAACCGCAACAAAACGTATAAATTAAATACGCCTGCCACCGAAACGTTGAAGCGTTTAATAAGCGCGACAGCCAGGAACACAAGGTTTGTTTCTAAAAAAAGTGAAATGAAAAGTAACAATACTTATAACATCCTTCTTTTTTTACAGCCTGACGAAGACTTTCAGTTATTGGAAATATCGTGGTATACCGCATGCGAAACCCAACTGGTCCTTAACGGCCAACATTGAAAATTAGCTGACAAACAATGCGATAAGATCAGATCGCTCTTCATAATCTAGAAAATAAAACCTCGAATTGCATAAAAATAACAAATTTGACATAAAATTTCAAATACGTGAAAACTGGTTTGAAAACAAAAAGCAGGAAAAGCTTTTTTTATATACAACAATAACAAACACACCAGCTACTACGTTAAATTCTAAGGTGTCTACGTTATAGTAATACAATGTATTCTGAGCTGTCGTAACGGACGAGGGATTTCTTAACACACTGTATTCTAACCTAACGTGGATAGATGAGGGGCTTGAGTCAACCTACTCGGAAAACGTCTATCTTCTAATCTTCATATGGTAGATTTGGAATAAAAACCCTTGCAGGAAGTCTGAATATCAGATGAGCGATATGCTGTTTCCATTGTCTTTCCTGCTCCATGATCGAGCAGCCAGCCCGCACTAAAATCGTTTTTATATTGATCAAAATGTAACTAGTACTTAAATCTAACGATTATCTCAAACAATAAATTGAATTACCTTTCTTGTGAAGGGAAATTCTTTGGTCCATTGATTTACAGAGAAATTTATGAAATTTATTTACGATGCATGCTTGAATGATTTAAATCCGAATATGGAAGTTTTTATTGTATAATTAAACTAACGGTTTAGCGAGGTAAGTAGTCATCGCGGTAAATATACAATTCTTTTGAATTGTGTCACCTGTGACACGGATGTGATACCATCGCAACAGAGTTCTGCAATATAAACCGCTCTATTGAAAGGCGATGCTCTTCTAAATGCTTTTCAAATGAAAATATTTTAGATAGTGTTGAGGCGTGAGGAAAACCTATGTCACCCAAAAGCATATTTGAAAATGGCATTTAAAACTTTCGTCGTTTAGGTGACCATTTTAGAACAAAAATTATAGACCGCCTTCATAAATTTAGATTAATTAGTACATTCCCATCTGGAATTCAAACAAGCATCAACTAACATCTCATAGAGGCGCTTAGGAAAAGTTAAATCTTTTCTTAACATACTGAAAGAAATATTAACCTTGGTTTCTCACATCACACGTTAATTCCATTGCCGCTTTCCATTGTCGTTTACGCCATCAAAGTTGGACGCGAAGTCTATTACGAAAGCTTTAATTTGAATTTACTGCCATTTATAGCGCTAGTTCACGAGAAAGCAACGCGTGTTTTCATTGTTGAATAATATTTGAAAAATAATGAAAATTTGACGGCCACAGTTCGCCTATATATTATTGATTTTAATTTCTTTTTTTTTTTTATTCTCTTTTTCCTTATTCAATAGTCATATCATAGAATTTGTGGGAACGGAAGATTCCATCGCATTCGTATTTAATCGGAGAGGTACCGCGGGCGATCGCAACGTAACCAATCTCGACGATTGAACCACCTTCAAAACGTAGTGAAATGAAAGTATCTATAAATGTTTTCTTAACTTGTTTAAATTACTTTAATAAATCTTCTAAGTTTCTATTATTTCTCTTATTTTTACTATTCTCAAGTAAACAGAATATTTAAGTCGTGAACTAAATATGTAAAAAACAAGCGAATTTTTCTATTTTTTAAAATAAAAGTTGAAGTTCAAATATGAACAATAGTATACATTGTAGATGGTCTCACTTTTTGTTGCATAGGCGTTGTGGTTCACTTTCAAATTCCATTCTGAAATTAAATTTTAATACACTGTAATAGACGAACAATTTTTCATATTTGCTGCATATATATATGCTGTTCAGTTTTTTTCGTACATATCTACTCATATGTATACCATAGCGCATGTTCACTTGAAAATACCGGATAGAGTATATAATTCTGCTTTGCAAACATGGCATAGAATGCGATGGCATGTTAAAAAACTATGAACAGAGTGCTTGCCCTTACAATTAATAAGAATGAAAGAGCAAGCAGTCAAATTGCTACTAAGTAAGAGCACTACCGCCATACTTGATAAAAGAAAAACAAAAACCCCATAATAAGCTTCTACTTTTAATACTGAACAAAATGTTGAACTATGTTGTTATTTGGTTGTCTCCATTCAAAATAACTCCTCTCATTACTTGTGATTTGATTCTTTTAGTATGAACTTATCTTTTCAACTTGCTCTTTCTCTTTCCCTCTTTCTCCAAACTGAGTATATGCCTTGCCTATTGTGGGCATCGTATAAAATTGTTCAACATATTTTGGTGTAGCCTTTAAAGCTTTAAATAAATAGTATCTACTGAACCAAGAGGAACCAACTTTACGGATTAGATTTTCATTCACCTTTTTGTATCCTACAACACTTTTGAAATGTGTGTAATTCTTACAAGGACTTCAGATAGACCTATCTTTTATTATACCGAACAATGCAGAATCATTTCCTGAAATCAAGCTTGTCCGCCTGTTTCCTATGTTTAAGTCGCAACTCGCAATTTTCGAGATATTTTGATGAAATTGGATTCTTGGCCTAAGGATGAAAGCGTTGTGTTCAACCTACAAGTCGTACTTTTTAAGATATTTCGATAAAATTCATTTTTTGGCCGGAGGACGAAAGCGCTATTGAAAATGGTTCGAATAGGGAATTTTTTTTATCACTTCCATAAAAGGCCTTATTTCAAGCAGTCGACATGTAAATAACGACTAATTATTAAACGAAGTAGTGTGTATATATAAGGGTGCCTCGTGACCCGCTTATCACTTCTTTATATTAATTCAATATGAATAAAATATTGTTATTATTATTATTATAATTAATCGTCTGAGGTTATTGGCTTTATGAAAAAATCTACGACGCTTGAGATTTGAACCCGCGACCAATCAATAAAATATTTTGTGTATTTTACATAAAATTTACCGGTGTGAGCTGGACTAGATAAATAAAAATAAATAGAGAAAAACCTTCATTGCCATATTTCTTAATATTATTCGGAGATTAAATACATCAACAGCTGTATGAAACTGAGCACACACGTTGTCCGCAATCAACAAAATAGTGAAACAAACAAAATAATCTTAAACGTAAAGCTGCAGCGGGAGATAAAAAAGAATATTTATTAAAATGCGTTATGCACAAATAGTTATTGGTCCAGCTGGTAGCGGTAAAGTAAGTTTAATTCTCGAAATTGTCGAGAATAATCCATGTGATTTTGCAAGCACTTATTTGTTTTAATCTAATTATTAGTCGACTTATTGCACGTATATGCAACGCTTAGCTCAGGATTCTAAAAGACTTATTGAAGTCGTCAATTTAGATCCGGCAGCGGAACATTTCGATTATCAGCCTGCTATAGATATACGAGATCTCATTCAATTGGATGATGCTATGGAAGATGAAGAATTACGTTATGGACCTAATGGAGGTCTTGTATTCTGCTTGGAATTTCTTATTGAAAATCAGGAATGGTTGAAATCACAATTAATTGGCGCTGATCCAGATAATGAACTAAGCACAGATCCCGACGATGATTATATTCTATTTGATATGCCGGGACAAATTGAGTTATTTACGCATTTAACAATGGGCAAAAAATTGGTACAATTGTTGGAGTCGTGGAATTTTCGTATATGCACCGTTTTTTTGGTTGATTCTCAATTTATGATAGACGGAGCGAAATTTCTATCGGGCACAATGGCGGCTTTAAGTGTTATGGCAAATTTAGAAATGCCGCATGTAAATGTTTTAACTAAAATGGATTTATTAAGTAAAAGTGCACGCAAACAATTAGATAAATATTTGGATCCCGATCCGAGGGCATTACTTAACGATTTGACAACAGAATCCGCTTGGGGACGTTCACATCGCAAATTATCGGAAGCTATTGGAACATTGATAGAAGATTTTAGGTAAGCCTTTAGTATTTGTTTCTACTTCCTCAGCGTAATTTCTCCTAGGCGGCTTCAACCCTTTATATCGCACGCAAGGCTATATTAAGATCGAGCAAATGTATGCAACACCCAAAAGAACTTGAGGTTGATATGTCTATTATTAAACCGATTGATCCAAGATCACTTCCTAAATCAATCCACGCTTGTCTGTCCGTCTGTCCATACAGTTTTCTTGTGTTCAGCCTACAGCTTGCTATTTTCGTGGAAATGTTGACCCAAGGACAAACTGACACACCACTTCCCGTATGGCATCGTATTTTGAAAAGTCGTTATGTTAATAGCGGTAGGGTGGCGTAGCCCACTATAGTGTTTTCCCACTCGTTTTGTCGCAACTCTTTACTTTCTCGGCATAATCCATTCCAAAGTACTCTAGATATTTTCTAACCAGCCAGACAGGCTTATTCTTTTTCTTAATAAGTCTAGTAGAACTTACTTTGCCGAATTTCGCCTTGATCAAAACGTAAGTTATTTTCTTCTATTTAATAATTATTTTATTAATTTTCCAATCGATTCTATTTTCACTTATCACATAAAAAAAAAAAAAGAAGAAAAAGATTTCTATTTGTTGAAACACAAACAAGTTAAAATGTAGAAGCTTTCCTTGTAGGATGGAATGGATGTTGCATATGCGACATATCCGGAGGGTTCTGCTCAAAATGGATAATTTCTTTCATTCCGGTATTACCAATATCCCATAAAGTTGGATATTCACGTTTAAATGTCTGATACCATTTCCATACTAAAGGATAAGATTTCAAATCAAACTCAATAGCTTCGAGACATAGAGTCGATGAAGACAAAGCAAAATCTGCTATAGTCAAATGATTGCCTGCAGCATATCTTGCGCCTAAACGTCTCAAATATGTTTCAAAAACACTTAAAGCATTCCGTACTTTCTTCAAGCCCAATTCGGTCCGTTCGTAATCAAAAAAGATGGGAGCCATAGTATAAGGTGATATACTTGCATAATAGAATGACATATTAAAACATAAACGATGATTAACTAAAGCTCTTGCTTTTGGTGTTTTTGGATACAATGGAGTCTCATCAGCATATTTATCGCACAGATATTGCATAATAGCTACACTTTCCGATAGACAAAAGCCATGATCATCCAAGACCGGAATCTCTTTTTGTGGATTTAACTGCAAAATATGTATAGTTATTAGAAATTTTTTTTTTTTTTTTATAAGAAATGTGTGCATACCTTAGCATATTCATCGGTCATGTGTTCGGATGCCATAAAATTCACATTCTTTAATTCATAGGGTAATTCCAAAGCTTTAAGGCACATACGTACAGCCAAAGATGGCGGACCATCCGAAACAGCATACAATTTCATGTTTATTCTGCAAATAATTGAAAATAGACAAATAGTTTTTAGTTAACTACGTTAGCACTGCAGGTGTTTATCATAACGCGAATGCTAATGAAATTCCAAAAATAAATAAATAAATAAATGAAACCAAAAACCAGTTAAAGACTACTTGCAATTACATAAAAGCTTTAAGCTTTGAAATGAGAAAGTCATGAACCGAAAACCATATTCGGCTTAAAGTGAACTATAAATACCCTTGATTACAATGCATCTGAAATCTAACGATAGCTTAGTCAGGTTAATTTATAAAAACTAGGTTATGTTTGATATTATCTTAGGTTAGAAGTTAAATCAGGTTATGACCTAATTTTAACTTATATATAGCTAAATTAACTATATACATTAGCAGCATGACTCACCATAACCTAAGACTCATCATGTTATATGTTGCAGGCCTTGCTGAACTGACTAAAGATGTGTTAGTCAAATTAATTTATAAAAACTATTTACGCAATTTTTGATATTTTCTTAGGTTAAAAGTTAAATTAGGTTATCATTAGTTATGCTGCTAATGTAATGTAACTGTTATATCACAATATACGCCATTGATTCTTCCAAACTGACCTAAAGATGTGCTAAATATAATTAATTTAAATGAAAAGGCCAAGTTTCTCTATATTTCTGATTTGCAATCCAATTTAAAAGGTTTTGAAAGTTAATGGACAGGGAGAGAGAAACAGTCAAAGAATAACAAATTCAGTGAATTCATTAAAGCATGCAAAATAAAAAGATGAATTTATTTTCAAAAACAATTGAAAGCACCATGTTGGGGCGGGGCTCGCCATTAAATACCCAATATCACTTCGTTCAAATCGTTATTCATATAACGACTTTAAAAAAGAAACCTTTATACGGGGAGTGGTCGAAAATGTTGTATGAACCGAACAATTCATTCTCAATAGCGGTCGTTCTTGGTCCGAGACACGTCAGTGTGCCAAATTTTATCCAAACATCTGAAAAGTTGCGGTCTGTCGCCTAAACACAAGGCAACAAGAAAGACATGCGGAGGAAGAGACAAGGTTAGATCGATGCAAAAAAAGATTCTGAATCGATCGGGTTAATTAAAGATGGATCTAGCTCCAGTTCTTCTGAGTATTGCATATATCCGCACAATTTTAATGTAACCTTGTGCCGAAACTGGCGGTGTAGGGTGTAATAATAAGTGCAGCAACACAATTAGTTTACATGGCGGATCAACCACTCTTAGAGGATTTAATGAAAACTTGTTATTGACATGCATTCATATCCATTAATATGCGGCCATAAAAACTCTTGCTAATAACTAATTTTATGAAAAAATAAAAGAGAGAAAGCAGGGATTCCCAATTATAATATAATATATAAGATTACAATTTTACATTAGAAGATATCAAGTCCGATTTGAATTCTCACACAGTCTTTCTTCAAGTCTTTCATCGAGTGCGAAAACAGGATAGAAAGAGACAACTTCGTACATACACAAAATGGCCGTCTAAACCCATCGCGCAGTCAATAAACATTTTGCTCGTTTGAGTTCAGTAAACATGCAATCGCTTTAGGAGAACCTTTGACACCTAGAACCTATAATCAATGTAACATATCGGTCAGCTAAGAGAAAAAAATTTGTCTCGACTTTATTCATCAACGATCTTAGCCAAGATTGATATAATCGATTGCAGGTATCTCTAATATTTTGATGTTTTTTTTATAGAATAATTTGTGAAGACCTTGACAAGTATGCTTCACTTTCGCAAAGTTCCAAACGTTTTTTTTTTTGGATTCTTCTTGTTAAAGTCAGAAATTCTTGAAGGCGGACGTTTTAAAATTCTATAAAAATAATTTTGTTAACCTTAGGTTGTATAAGCTGGCCTGACTTATTTGTCTGTTTGAGGTGCTTGATTACTTGTAATCGACAAGGATGCTACGATCTTCAATATTATACGGTGTAGTTCTTTAGAAAATCTATGAGTTTTCGCACTCAGAGTGTTCTCATGAATTCAAAATCTCATATTTGATCACTATTGGCATGAATGGCCGAGTAAGCAAAGAGTCTCGACTAACAACTCAACGGCCATTGATTCAAACCTCAATAAAGCCGATAGCCTTAGATGCTAAGTATTTTAAGACTTTACTCTTGCAATTTGTTTCCACTTGAATTAATAATAATAATAGTATATCTGATCAATGATATATACTTAAAGGGAATTTTTAAGCGTATTACCCGTTGTAATGAAATTGCAATTCATTTTCAATGATAGGTTTGAAAACCTATAAAGTTCTTTTGAAATTTTTTTTCTATTAATTTTAAATAGGCATCTCTACAAATGTGCGTTCTTCCTTTTAACTTCCAACCAAATACCGCACGATATGGGCATATATATACATACTTTATACTCGTCCATAAACATTGAAATGAGTGCAATAATGATTTGTTAGTACTACAACCTATTGTAAGATATAGAAAATTAGTTTCAAGCCGTTTATAGTATCTTCTTTGTTAACTTTCCAAATTGCCGAGTTATTTGCCCTTTTCCAAGATAAAACAAAACGAAAAAAAATTACTAATAAAGGCAGCAGTATAAGATTTGAAAAAATTCCTACCATAATAAGAAGCTTTACTTACCCATTTTTTGCCATTTTAAAATTACGTTCGGTACGAATGCGATTTTTTAAGATTTTTGCGAATTCTGGATTTAGTTCACTTATCGGCCTATGAAGTATATCATTGACTTTAAGTTCAGTGTTTTCCAATTTCGAGAATTCATTGTACAAACGACGTTTAATGTCCTCTTCCGAAAAGGGATGCGTATGATAGTTGCTGACGTGAGTTACTTTAATTTCATTATTTTTCGATACGGAAGCTACACGTGCTGGACATTTATATTTGCGATCTTTCGACTTGATACAAGACCAATATGTACGATTATTGGGCGAAACACTTTTCAAATGATAGATGAAACCATCGACGCACAATAATTCACCTCCTTTAGCTGAACGTAATTTGGCTACCTTTGTGATGTCAATATTATCGGGATGAGGACCACGCGATAAAGTTTGCCTTGTTATTCGATGCGCTGGGGTTGCTAATGTTAATTTCGGTTTTTTATTTACAGGCGTATATGTCTCATCCGAATCATGATTATCGTCTATGCTAACTAAATCATCGTTATCCTCCTCATCATCATTATCGTAATCGTCGCATTCGTATTTGAAATGATAATTTTTGATTTCATCTTCGGTTGCACGCTCCATTTCTACATACTCGATTGTGTCCTTAAGGGAGTCTTTTTCAATTTTACAATCCACCGTTTCATAAGATTTATGCTCGTTTTCATTTTCATCGAATCCGCCTAGGATTTCTTCAACAACGGTATCCTCGTAAACTATTTCGATTTTTGAATCAAATGATTTGTTATCATATTCAGTATCGTTTGGGTCAATTTGTACCATTTCGTGGTATGTAATGTCGCCATCGGTGCGCCCATCTGAGTCTTCTTCTTCAATTACATGTTGTGTGAAACTATCGTTGTCGTCATCATCTCGTAATGAATCTGGCTGACTGACCGCGGATCGTACGGACTCGCTTAATTTCTTTTCAATATATGACATGTGATCTTCGTGGTTATGCATCCCAGAGACCTTAGTTATTCTGGTAAGACCCTCAACATCTTCAGTTGTCAAACGACCGTTACACTTATGCCCTTTATGACGTCGATAGAGGCACGTCCAGTAAGCCCGATTGCTTGTTGCGCCTTTGGAATCGTAATGGTATATCATTTTATTCAAACACAACACTTTATTGCCTTTCTTAGATGGCAGAAACGTAAATTTGGTTATTTCGCCATCCTTCGGATCATTAAGTGCTTCTATAGGATTTTCTACGTACTTATACAAAGCAGCTGTGGATTCGGCTCGTTCATAACGTACACCTTGACGGACTGGCGTTCCGAGAGAACCGCATATACCTTGTACCTTGCCGCCACTTTGACTCGATAAAGGCGCCATACCAACCTTTAGAGGATTACACTTGAAACCATCGAACACTTGCAAAGTACCATGCTCCTCATCGCCATGTAAAATCTTAATGTTGTTACGTCTAATCAAAGTAGTGACTTTATTCTCAGTATAAGGTTCATGATTGTGAACACCCTCATTTAAGCGTATAGCCTTGTAACGATGCTGACCACTTGTTAAACATTCCGTGTAAATACGCGCAGTGCATTGCAAATCCTTAGAGCGAAAACACTTCCAACGATATGTTGAAGACATTACAGACTTACCGTCTAACCGATACACACATCCGTTAACGGCAATCATATTATAACCTTTAGCAGTTTTTAACATTAAAACTTTTTTCTCCTCTTCCTGCCCCATCATAGAAGTACTTATATCCGTTTCACACTCTTCCAGCAAAGATTCGACAAGCTCTGATTCATTTTCATTACCAGTTGCCGCCAATCTAGCAAGTTTTGCTAATTTAGCTTGTTCCGCTTTCAACTTACGCTTTAACGTATTATTTGGCAGGGTACATGCTAAACCTAACATTACCGCCGAACGTTTGCGTTCTTTTGCCTTCTTTATGGCATCCTCATCAGCAGGTCCGTGGGGATGTTCGCCCGTTATACGGATAACTGCGTGTTGCGTTTCATCTGTTTCATCAATTAAGGTTGTATACAAACGCACACGACATGGTATAGCATCCTTGCGTCGACTACATACCCAACGATAAGCCTTCGTTGTGCGATCATCATAATGAAACAAATATTTGCCCACTAATAGCATATCCTTGCCTTTAGCAGAGCGGACCATTTGTACTTCGGAATCATCCATTTTTTTTTTCTAGGGGTTTTGGAATTTTTCAAAAATATTCTGTAATTTGTGGCCTTTTTTTTTTGTAATATTCCTAAAAACCCTTAAAAACACTTTCTAAACACTTTTCTTGCAGTTTTCCTGTTTTGGGAATTAACTTAAAAATTATTTTTCCAAATTTTTTGTCAACTCAACCCTTTTTTTTTAACAGTTCTTTAAAGTTCGTGTATACAGCAACAATTTATTTATCTAAATTGCATAAATTGTGAATAATAATTTCTCTGCAAATCCCAAATATTTTCTCCACGCTCTGCCACCATTTTATTACCCGTCATTCGTTTTCGGATTTCTTAGCAATCAATGCTTATAAGTAAGAAAAGGATAGTATGAGAGATTTTTTGATAATTCTCTCCAGAGTTGTGCTTTTTTGCGTTTATTCCAGTTATGTAGACAATTTGCGTGTGATGGAATGAGACAGCTAAAGATGTTTATAATAATAGTTTTTGGTAATTGTTCGCTCAACAAACAGTGTTGCTTTTCCAATTGTAATATGCTTAGGGGAGAGCTTACATTGGCATTGTTGCCATTCAATGAATATAAATACATTAAACAGTAAACTTTTAATATATATGCGAATAAAGAAAAAAAGGATACTTGCAAAAACCTAAAACCTAAAGTAAATTAAAGAAAATGCGCTAAGTTTGAGAAATCCCTCCCGGACCTTAAAACAAAAGAAGAAATGTGCTAAAGTTCGAAAAATTAACATACAACGTAAACAAATTTTAATGAAACTTGCGTTTTCCTTTCAGTTTGGTGCGCTTTATTCCAATGAATATCGATGACGAAGATAGCCTACAGGATTTATTGCTGCAAATTGACAATGTTATACAGTATGGCGAAGATGGCGACGTTAAAATGCACGATTTCGATCCGCCCGACAACGAGAAAGAAAACGACGATTCAAAATTGTTCATGGAATAAGTCACCGTTATATTTTTTTAAGAATTTAGAAAGAAATAAACTAAATTTTATACAAATTTTTTTCTCCTCGTCAATAGTTACAGGTCATTTTATACAAAGAACGAAAAAATATAAAAGCCATAGAAAATGTTAATACAAATAGAAAAATTTAGATTAAAATAATTTACCAAAAGAGATAATTTAAAGTTTTTTCCGCTTCTCAGAATCCTAAAATCACAAACTATTGCAAAAATGTGGAAGATCAGATATAGTTAAGGTTTGCTATCGGTATCTAAAACCAAATTGCCATCTTTATCTTTCAGGCGTACACGTCCATTAGAATAACGCGTCTCTTGACTTCCATCCTTGTAGACAGTTTTTACTGTGCCATCGGGGTATTCACGCCTCTTATTATTTTTGGTATGTATTTCCTTTTGGCCATTGGGAAGCATTAATATTCGATCACCATTACGCATTTGCACTAAATTGGTACCATCGCCAAAACGCCATTCTTCCAATTTATGCTCGTCGTTTGGATTAAAAATTTTCACGGAATTATTTGGATAATGTATCTCAATGACACCGTTTTTATGGCGATGTTCTATTTGACCAGTAGGAAATTCTAATATATTCAAACCATCCAAATATGTAGTGTGCCATGTATTCGTTTCGGCATAATAATATTTAACAGTTCCGTCGTTAACATTCGTTTCCTTAACATCCTTGTTATAATACAGCATGCGGGTAATCATTCCATCCGCGGAAATTTTCTTTACATTACCATTGGGATACCAAATATCTCGGCTGCCATCAGCATTAATAATTTCCCTTTTCATATTATTGGCAACGGGAGCAAGCGTAGCAGTTGGAGACGAAGGCGGTGGCAAGGGACTTTCACCACTCTTTAAACGCGCCGGGGGTTGCTCTTCAATGTATTGCGCTTGATCTTGAAAACCGACCATGTTTTCTGGATTACAATCCATGTCCCGTAAAATATCATCATCCTCCTCTTCTTTATTGTCTTCAATACCTATTGGCAAACCTTCTTCGTATTGCCGGCGTTGTTCTTGCTGTTGTTCTGTTAAGCAATAAGCATCCTGAGCTGGTAATTCAGCTTTTTGGGAGCTTGTATCTTCGCTTATACTAGTATCTGGCGTAGTTTCCGTTTCGGCACCCGATGTCAAACTCATTTTATTATGTTTATCACCATTTTTTGAACTTCGATTACCTGCTTTGGATTTCTTAGGTGCCTGAAAATATCCCATTGCAGATTGCCTTTGCAAGCGATTTACCACAGCCGCTGTTACTATGGTTTTTGAAACACTTTTGCGAGGAGTTAATCGTCCTTTATTGTTTTCCAGAACCTAAGAAGGGAATGAAATTTAAAAAAATTCTCCTCTTTCTTTTCCAACCCAATTACTTACCGCTTTAGGCGAAGCTAATCTGGCAATATTACGATTAATTTCCTGCAATAGTTTATTATTTTGTTCTCTGCTTATGCGCAGATTTTCACCTTCCAAACGTTTGTTTTCTTTTGTTAAACGTTCGATTTCTTCGTGCAATTTTTTCTGATCTCTCTCCGTATTACGCATCTGAGACCGCAGTCTAGCCTGCGCAGCCATATGTGTATGTTCTTTGCCTTTAAGCTGTGTTTCTATTTGGACAAGTTGTTCCCTTAGCTTTTCCACTTCTTTACGCTCTTTCGCCATAAATGCTTGCGTCTTCGAACGATATTGTTGCTCAAGCTTACGTCTTTCCTCTTCCAATTTCATGCGTTCTTCATGCAAACGGATTTCAATTTGGATTTTTTCATCTTTCAATCGACCCATAGCTTCCAGATGTTCTTGCGCTTGGAGATTTTTCTCCAGCTCATGTTCTTGCTTGATTTTCATTAACTGTACATTATTCTCCTTAAAAGTGTTAATCTCTCGTTCCAACTCGCATAGTCGTAGCTTAATTAAATCGGTTTTTTCCTGCAATTCCGCTGTTGCCTTCTGTATAGCCGCGTGTATCAAATCCGAATCTTTCGGTGTTAAAGTAGTAGTACTAGGTGTGCTATTCGTATCATTTGGATTATCAGCTTTTAATTGAAGGGCAGCAAATAATGCGTTTTTGAATTGTTGAAAGAACTCATCATGGGAGTCGTCTTTGTTACCAATCAAATGGTTATTTTCCGTTTTATCATACTCACGCGTGTCGTTTGAATCAGTAAAACGTACTCGAACCTCAGGCGACGGCGACGGCGTAATATTGGAATAATCATTCGATTCTAAGCATTTGTTGTTGTTACCTCCATCGTTATCGAGAGAATTGTCCGTTTCATTCTCAGCTTCAGTTTCCGTTTCGCATTCGTCTTCGATTTCATCAACGCTGGAGACTTCAGGTGCTATAGCATCTGGCACTACTAAAGGCTGTAGACGTTTAGTTTTTAAATCTGTCGTTGAAGAGATTTGTTGCTTCCCGTCTGCAAAGCCGTTGCAGTTTTCATAAAGGCATCGTTGCATATAATTCTGTACGGCAGATGAGTTCATATCGGCGCCACTTTGAGCTTTTCGTTGTATCAAATCGAAAATATCAATTTCCGGTTGGGGTGAGGAAGCCTGGACACCACTCCTTCTCACCGTTATTGGTTGCACTTGTTTCGGATCTAAAATTTGACACCAGGCGACAGATGTTCCTTGCGGAGTTGGTCCCTCATTTGGGGGATATTCTCGAAGTTTCGGCACAGCCGCATTGTTGGCATCGGAAAATCGAACTCTACCTGGCGATGAAGATGACCTAGCTCTTTGGGGACTTTCACTATTATTCGTTAATGTAGACTTGGGATCTGGAGTCGAGTTACAAGTATTTTTGGAAGTTAATAATATCTGCTGAAAACGTTGTTCATTAGCTTCTAATGGCGGCGGCTGGACATGTGGAATTATGCATTCATTTTCCGATTTTTTATGTTTAACGAGATCGTTCTGTGCCACACCAGGACGTCTTTTGGGTATAGGTTTCGTTGTGAAATGAGGATGAGCATTGGCATATTTGTATCGTGGTAAATTATTTAATCTGAGTTCGTTAGGGTCTATTTTGAATCTTTGTTTCAAGCCTTCGCCTCTTTTAAGATAAGGTTTTTTAGCTTTAAATGGTTCTTTAAAAGCATTAGCGTAAGCAGGATTCATATAATTTAGGGAATTTATATCAGGTAGTTTGTCTTCCGTTTCCAATACATCTTTACATTCCTCAAAATCTTCCTCCGTATACTCTCCAATGAAATCTTCGACGTCTTCATAGTCAGCAGAGTCTGCATCTTCTTTTATCGGTCTGTTTTCCATTGATTCTTGGCTATTTTGTTGTTTATGTTGTTTCTGCTGAAGTTCCTCTTTTGAATTCCGATTATCTAGCGGGTCTCCGGCAGTATTCTCGCCACATAATCCCAGCATCTCATACATTGTCTGTTGCTCGATACCCAAAATTTGCCGTTGTCGATTCTGCCGCTCTTCTAATAAACGCTTCTGCTCTTCTTGCCATTTATTTAATTCCTCTAAGCGTTTTACAATATTACATTGCTTTTCATTCTGTGTCGCCATCGTTGTGGTCTTTGCAAAAGTAGGTGCACTCGACGTTTTATTTTGTAACATATTTCACATTTAATTTTAAATAATTTTTCTTTTTAAAAGTAAAAGTAAAAACCTTTTAGTTATAAATTCAAAATTTTGCGCTACTCTGAAGTAAAATTACAAAAAATTATTTTACATGTCAACAAACGTTGGCAGAATAAACAAAGGGTGCTGAATATAAGTTAGCCTTAAACCTATCCATTTATAAAGTAAAGTAGAAATTTTCATTGCTTACTTATATAAAACAAATATTTTCTGACAGCATCTTATGATGTCACAAGAAAACAACAAACTTTTATAAAGGCTTAAAGATAATTTAAAATATCTTTCTATTTATATTTACTTTGTTTATAATAAACTTGAAGTATAACTTTTAACATACCTGTTTTAGGTATACAGTTTTTATTTTAATATGACATACGCTACTTCTTCAGCAATGGGAACAAATTTTATATAAAGGTTTTATTAAAATTGGGGTTTAATAAAAATTGTAACCACAAGTCATTGATATCAAGAGATAGCCTTAAGGGTTAAGGAACAACTGAACGTTTTTAATCTCGAGTAGTGACGTGAAATTGTTTGTATATTATTAAATTGAGAACATAATAAGCTCAGTAACGGATAAGCGGAACAACCCATTCAATACACATTAAGAAGAAATTCACTTTTTTTATCTGAAATAAAATGAAATGATTTAATTATTCAACTTTGAAGTTGATTGTAATCACCAACAATATTCATTCATCAACTGTTCGACAGGTCCTTCCGGTTTTTCACCATAGGAATTCAATAACTTCAAATCAATACCGTAGCTTAATCATCATACATATCTGATTTTTATTTTAGGTTTTAATTAAAAGCAAAATGGATTTTATCTATCTACAATTTATTGGCATTCATAGTTGAGAATAAAATAGTATTATTTCTTTTTTTGATTTCCAGCTTAACTCATTTGATCAAGATAATATAAGTGAGTATTCGCCAAAGTGCTTCATTTTAAAACTACAATATTTTGTACAATTATATCTCACTATTTAATATATCATCTATATACTTCAGAAATAAAGGATTCAGCCAGACTCCTTCTCGCTTTGACAACCTAAAAATAAAAATAAAAAAACTTACCAATAAATTATGATAACTATTTTATAAAAAATTTGCTTTGTAAGTCATCGATGCATTTGCTTTTGTTTTTTTATATTGCTTTATGTCGTTTTTTTATTGTTTAAGAATAATAGTGAATAACTAAATTCCTTAACATGCCTAACCATGCTACGCTTTCAATATTTCTCTGCCTTCCGATTTGATATTAAAATAAAGGAGCTTTGAAAAAGAAGTTAATTGTACTTTGTAGCACTATCGCCACTTTGAAGTGACAATGTTACTACAATTCTTTGCCTGATTTATCTAAATCGTGAAAGACACTTGTATATTACTTCCATTATTATTAAGTAGTAAGCTAAACAATAATATTACACAAAAAAAAATTGTTACTAGAACCATAAAAAACAATCATCATTCAGGCAATACAAATAGTTTTCGCTGTGCAAGGAAAAGATTAATGACTTTGATGCACTAAACTATTATATTGTTATATCTATTATTTATTTAAGTAGTAAACAATTTAAATATTAAACAAATTATTTGTATTTGAAATGTTATAATTTAATATTTTGGTAAATGAAATATTTCACAATTTTCTTGTAATAATGCTATTGCAAAAATTTTTTAGGATCTCAATATTAAATATTACAATTTCCGTGAATTGAAAATAATTAACTTTTCTATAAATTGAATTTTTTTGTAACTTTTCTTTGTACATTCGATATTTTTGCGAAATTTTTCGTTTCGCATCCACTCCACTGTAAATGTGCAATTTGGTATCATCTGAGAGTAATTCAAAGAACTCTTGGAAATTTTTCAATGGTTTAGGATACCTGTTTTAGGGTTAACATATCTGTCTTGGGTCAAATATATGAAAATATGAGTAATTTTATGTATACACATCTAAATATTTTTAAAATAATTATCTTGTTAATTGAAATGAAAACCACGCAAAATTTCATTTACAAGTTAAACAATAATGACTTTTTAATTTAATATAAATGAAATAGTTTGGTTTAACATATCTGTTTCTCAATTGAAATAAGAGATTCAGCTGAAATAAGAGAAGCACTGCATATTATTTATATTTTTTGTTAACAGAAATATTTGGCTTGATAAAGAAAACTTTTTTAACTTTAAAATCATTGTTAATTTTTTATAGCAATGCCGGTAAGTTTTTTATATCTTGCTTGCAGGGGAGTAAACATTGTTTTTTAACATTTTTTAATTGCCAAGGCTTATCATTCGCAAATTAAAGAATTTTCTTCTGCTGTTGGTAATATGTCCATACTGCCGCTACGCACTCAATACAGAGGACCAGCGCCCAGTGTTCACATAGACAATGATATTATAGATGAATCACTTTATTATTTTAAGGCCAACGTGTTCTTCAGAACATATGAAATTAAGGTAAATAAAAAATTTCTAAGTAATTATTTTTGAATAAATACATAAAAACCAATTGCTTACTATGTGCTTTTATAATAAAGTCCGAAGTGGATCGGGTCTTGATATATATAACGTTGTACATAACTGAATGCTTAAAGAAGCTGCAAAGGTGTGCCAATAAGAATCAAGGTCAACAAGAAATGTATAGTTTAGCAATATCGAAATTCGATATCCCTGGTGAAGCTGGATTTCCCTTAAATGCTGTTTATGCCAAACCACAGACAACTCAAGATATCGGTAAGTTGTGTAGCACAAAATTGGTAGCATCCCACTTTCATAATTTTTTTTTATGGCAGATTTGATGCGTCAATATTTATTGCAATTGCGTCATGAGACAGGACATCGTCTATGTGAAAAAGTTTTTAATACAGAGGACGGTAAACCTAATAAATGGTGGATATGTTTTGCTAAAAAGAAGTTTATGGAAAAATCATTATCTGGGCCTGGTCAATAGTTTCACATTTTCCAAGCAAGCTGTATTTAAAGAACTTCCACTGATATTGATTGAGAAAAGTAAATAACGCATTAATCTACAACTAGTAAAGTGACACTATCATTGTTCCAATAATTTGAAAACGGTCCATGTACTCTTTACAAGCTTGCCTAAGTTAAAAAAAGTGATGTATAGAATGGACTTGGAAAGTTAAATGCAATTGCAAACGTTGCGGCCATTATTAAAAATTTCCTTTCTTCGTACAGTAGCGTGAACTATTTCTCAGCAGAAAATTCTAACCGCGTATCCTACGAAACAACCTTTCAAGTATTTTAACCCAAGCTATGAATTAATAATTAGTAAAATCGAAAGTATACTTATTTAAAATAAAATGAGCTTTTGTCTAATTTTGAATTTAACATTTATTTAAATTACAACGCACATCTTGCAGTCGTAAAGAAACAATAAAACTCTTTAGCGATACAAATGATCAGCTTGCAAATTGGAGGCTATTTCAGATTCCCACTTGTCACCGTTGTTGAGCAACTTCTCTTTATTGTACAATAGCTCTTCATGTGTTTCCGTAGAGAATTCAAAATTCGGACCTCGTACCATAGCGTCTACAGGACATGTTTCCTAAATACATAAATAAATAAATAAAATCTTATGAAAAGACTTAATTTATATTGTCGAACAAACTTGGCAAAAGCCGCAATAGATGCACTTGGTCATATCAATATCATAGCGTGTGGTACGACGACTTCCATCAGCTCGCTCCTCAGCTTCTATAGTTATAGCCTGTGCCGGACATATGGCTTCACATAATTTACAAGCGATGCAACGTTCCTCACCGCTGGGATAACGGCGCAAAGCATGTTCGCCATGGAAACGTCGTGACAAAGGTCCCTTTTCCAAAGGATAATTAATAGTTGCCGGCTCTTTAAAGTTGTGAGCCAATGTGACAGTACTTGCTGCTCTATCCGTTAAATCCTTGGATTCCATACTTCTCTTTATTGTTTACATATATATATAGCCCTTGGGTACCTCAACAATATCCTTTCCTTTGCCGTGCGAATCCATTAAACGAGTTCCGGTAGCAAACCAACGTTGGCCTGCATAACAGAAATATTGATTAATTAATATCAAATTAACAAGTAAGGATGAATGAATTTTACTTATAAGAGTTTTTTTTATACTCCAATTTTTGGATATCATTGTGTGTTCAATTTGTATAATAGTTTTTGTGTAAATTTCAGATGAAATTTATTTGCGTTGTTTTGTTTTATTTTTTTTTTCGTTTTTTTGTTGATGACATAACCATAACCTCAACTCTAAACTTTGATAGACTGTATTCTTCTAATCAGCCACTACAATTCGTATGAATTTTGTACACTTTTTCACTTACCATTGCGTGAAGCTGTAAATAATTTTACAGGTAGGGCCATAATTTTTTAATAATTCAATATTATTATCGGTTTTTTTTTATTTTTCGTAAACACTGCACGGAAAGATTAAAAATTATAATGAGACGTAACATTTTACTTAGAGAGCTGCTTTGCAAGATAACAATTTAAATGAATGAAAAAGTTAACAGCGCTCTGTTAAGAAAAAGCAAAGTGAAAAAGGAAATTAAATAAAACATAATTTCAAAATTGTGTTTTTTTTTTAAATTTTTAAATGAAGAATATCAAAACATTAATCAAACGTAGTTTAATTACGAAATACAAAAAAATATTAAAATAAATAATTAAGATAATAATATACCAAAACTAACCCTAACTTTACTAAGGCTCGAAAAAGAATTTACGTTTATATCCGGCCATTTTTACACATCATAGCGAATTTTCGGTTGTTGTTTTGCTGAATAAAAGAAGAAGAAGAAGAACAAGAAGAGAAATATAATTTTTGCATTGTATTTTTTTAAAAGGTACGATCTTGAAAGACTAGATACTATGAAAATTGCTATATATGAAGAGGAATATGGGATATCGGCTCGAATTTTATCGAAATGTTTCGCCAAGTTCAAGTAATGCATATCTGTATATATAGAATTCTGTTTAATATATTTCATATACTTATTATGCCTTCCTTTTTTTATTATTACATTGTTAAAGGAGACAGTTGAATGCAAAATTAAGTATAAATTATATTAATATTGGTTTTATTGTGTTTTTAAATAAGTTTTTAACTTTTTTATTTACTTTTGCAAGAAATTATCATAGAAAGAATTGATGGAGTCGAAGTTTTCCTCTCGTGTTATATGTTATTAGATGTTTGCAAAAATTTTGATCAGCGACTTCTATAGATAAAAATAGTGAGGAAATAGGAAATAGCAGGTTACATAATGCGTGATTTCGATGGTTTTGACCTTCCTCCACTTAAAATAATAGTTTTCCATTTAATATCGCAAACGCACGATAACGCCATGTTGGCAGAAATATGCTGAAATCAAACGCACGATAACGCTATGTTGGCAGAAATATGGAAAATATTTTGAATTTTTCTCTATAAATGGGTTTTCAAGTGAAAAAGTTATCAAAATTTTTTCAAACACCTAATATCATCGCTCGATTAGATATTCATCGTGAACATTTATCAGAATCAAGCAAATCTATATTTCTCTTGTGTGAAAAATATTTAAAATTAGCTTCAAAACGCATTAAGAAACTTTGAACTGTATTTTTTCTTCGAATCCATTTGACTTTCCATGGAAACTGTTTCTTTTTCTTACACTTTAATATTTTAGTTTATTTTATCGCTTTATTTTTGTCTAAGGATTTTAATGAATTTGTCTGACGATTATATATTAAACAACAGTTTTCCTTTACTTAATTCTTTTTTTGTATTAAATTTCAATAATTTTATTACTTTATTTATATGTTTGAAAAATTAATTAAAGTTTTTTCTGGCAAAAAGTGGAATGTAACAAAAACGAATATTACAAACCTTTTTTTTGCCAAATGTCATAGTTTGTCGTTAAAGTTGATTTCACAGCTGTAAAATAATAACATCCCTGTTACTTGTTGCAGTTTTGCAGCCACTATCATGATGGTTCGCTAATAGTACATAAGAAACGAGTAATCTTTATGTAACGAGTACTCGAAAAAATGGAATTTCAGCCGCAAACCGGTCGTGTAATTTTTATTAATTTTTCTTAATTTTAAATTGTTGATTTCCATAAGAAATTCTTACCAAAATAAAAGTTAAACGGTAAACATTAAACGTCAAAAAAAGTTGATAAAAATATCGCATCAAATAACTGCAAAAGATTTATGGAAAAAAAAAGATTTCACTTTGTACAAGTAAAGTAGAAAAAAAAGAAGAAAAAATTGCGACTTGCGTGGAAGTGGATTGAAGAAAATACATCAGAAATCTCAGAAAAATTCCAAAGCGTCAATGAAACAATTTATCATTTTTAAAGCACCTTTCTATATAAAAACGCTTCTAAAAGCAAAAGTCGTACAAAAATTTCTTAAACATTACTATTGAAAACTTGACGTTTTTTTTAGTTGACATCATTACTTGTTAAAAAAATAAAATAAAAAAAAAAAGTTAAAAATCAATGTGTTTACTTCAAGATGAATTAAGAGGAAAAAAGTAATTTTACAGTTTTATTAGCTTATAAATTACGTACACATACATGCACATACACACACAACAATAGAAATTAAAGCTTTTTTTATTTAGTGAAAAAGTTTATTAGAAGAAGGGGAGAAAAAGAAGAAAAAACGAAATATACGTAAAGTTATTGCCACAACCCGGGGTCTGGCATTCAACTAACAAACTATGTAAGTGTTTAATATGTTTTTCTTTTTTTTTTTGTTTTGTAAAAAAAGTTTATATATTTAACAAAAATAAAAAAAGTGTTTTTTTTTCATTTATAATTAATCAATCGCGACTTCTCCACTCGTTAGTAGTTATCTTGCCTTGGTGTTTCTCTATGTGTGTTACATTTTCTCAATGCAATTGCTGGTATTGCGACAGTTTATTTTTACAAAATTTGTGTAACGTTACTTAATCATAACAGTTATTGCTGCTACTGCTGCTATTGCTGCTGTTGTCTGTTATCTAATTTTACATTTCTTTGATAACTGGAGTAATATTCTATTTTCTTCTCTTCTAATCCTTTTGTTCATTTAATTAAAGTTGACGTATATTGTTCTCTGTCATGAATGATTGTCAGAACGAACGAATGAATGAATGAATGTACGCATGTATGTCTGCATGAAAGAATGATATAAAACTTATTTATCATTAGGGGATTTTCAATGTTTTGATTTGTTGATGTTCTGTCGTGTCTTCCCTAGTTTTCATATTAATCATTCACTGCATGTTTTCCTTTCTAGAATATAGGCGACAGTATGCAACATTATGCGCTTAACATTATATTAACACTACCAAGTGCAACACGACGTGACCTTCAGTGCAGTTTTGGAAAATATGTAAAAAATATATATTTGTTCATCTTTTGATATCTACAAACTTGTCTAACGTATGTTAAAAAATGTTGGGGGACGGTGTTAATTAGTTCTAAACATTAGTAGACGTGATAAGTTATCGAGTGAAAGAAATGACTCGATTCGACGAGTCTTGGTAAATAGTTTACGTAGTTCAAAAATTGAAATAAAAACATGCGAAAACAATATGGTGGGACAAGACTTACCTTTAAAATACCCTACACCGCTCTTTTTCAAAATAAGGCTGTAAGTGATCAAAAAAGTGGTCTGATCCGAACTATTTTCAATACCGTTCATCTTTGCGGCGAAGGATGCGAATGTCCCAAATTTCATTAAAGTGCCTCAAAAATTGCTATCTATAGGTTGCGTAAAAAAAAACAGGAGAGGCAGACAGACAGAGGGACGGACGTATGGACGAGCAAAACTAAGTCGGTGCAAAAAGTGATTCTGAATCGGTCGGTATATTAATCAATGCGTGTTGCATACATCCGCACAAACTCATTGTTCGCTAATTGGTTGCACAAAGGAAAACAAGACGGATAGACAGACGTAAAAGATTGATTCAGAAAGCGATTCTAAATTAATAAAAGAGGCATCTGTCCCAAGTCCTTCCGGGTGTTGCATACATTCGGTCGAACTTGTACCATTGTTTAATAATGAACTGCTTAAGACTTCGAAAAAGGTTTGAAGAGACGGTAGAAAAGATAGTGTGAGAAGGATTTCAAACTCCTGGAATCTGGATATACCACGAGTTGAAGCCAATACGAATTGGATAGTAGATTAAGACAGCTTTAAACGCAAAAAGCCAGACCAAATATTACAACAGTAACGTATGCGAACTTTGACGGATCAACAGATTCCACTGGATGCAGCACTTAATCCATTTGTTATGATAACTCCAAGAACAAAAGACCCAAGCAAGCATTTGCTATATCATTCCAATCAATCGATAGCCACAATTAAAACCTTTAGTGGCTATTTCTTGATTCTGGCGGAATATTGTCCGTCGACAAATTCCTTGAAGATTAATTTTCTAACAGGTGCCTGGCTTTTAATATTTAATTTTCATGAACAGGCGCCTTATAATTGCAATAGTAGCATGTAGAGTGTCACTGAGTGTCATGAAAGCGCCTAGAAAGTTACAGAAGATAATGGCTTTCTTTCTATGACTTGGCATCAAAAAAATACTCTACTTTTGAAGGGATGATATTAGTTTGAGTTATATGCCAAAGAAACAAAACTTGGTGTTGAGATGCGATTTAATTTTTCTTGATTCGGTCGCAGAAAGTTCTTATTATCAGGAAAATGGATTGTTTAACGAATATGGGTCATCAACAAGCGCACCGTGATGATAAAGTTATAGTAGTGGCTATGATTCCATTCGATTGTAAGAAAATGTATACGACAGTCCTCAACTCACTACCCGTTAAAGTGAGTCCAAAACCGGCACCTATCGATTTTGCTCGATATCGACGACTACACACTCAAGAACTTCAGTTTATTCTTATTCTTGTGGTTCTCATTAGTTAACGACTAAAAATTTGCCGCACCGGTTCACAGATCCGTCCATAGCTGATAGAACAACGATAACACTGACCTCTTTTCCCAAATTACTATTAATTTAGCTAAAGAAATAAATTCTAAGACTAAAGTCTTAAAGTATTAGCATCTGAGGCTACCGCCTTTATTGAAAAGTCCACCGGGCGGGAGATTTGAACCCAAGATTAATTACTTCTTCAAAATTCTAAAGCTTGTGATTTAATCTTAAATTTTATGATAATAAGAGCAGGAGGGTAGTGATGTAATTGAAAGTTAGGTTTGGTTTTTGGATATAGCCGTTTGACAAAAACAGCTGAGAGCGAAAGCGAGACTTAAAAGCTCGACGTATTTATCATAACTTCATAAGCTTAGTTAGGACAGTTGTTGCCAAATTGTGTAAAAATATTAGTTAATATATATATGGTACACCATACATACGATATAACGTGATACATATTGCATGCATATCGAGAGCGAATCAACCTTGAGCGCTTTACCTTGAAATGAAAAAGCGTACATAACCTACTCATGGCTAACGAAAACATATATGTCTCGGGCCGAGTACAAACTTTTGTACCTTACCGCACTTGTGTCCAAGCGTATATTAACTTTGTGCGGATCTATACAATATGCAGAAAAAGTTGAGATACACCCGTCATTTATTATAAAGACCAATTCAGAATCACTTTTTGACTCGACTTAAAATTGTCCGTCCGTCTGTCTGCTTCTCTCGGTTCTTCGTGTTCAACCTATAGACCGAAATTTTTGAGATATTTTGATGAATTTTCGTACACTGACATATTTTGGCTGTTGAAAATGATTAGGATCGGACCGAATACAAACTTTTTTGCCCTACCCCACTTGTGATGCAAGGGTACATTAGGTTTGTGCGAATGTTCGCAATACGCTGAAGGACTTGCGTTATACTGATCGATTCGGAATCACATTTTTGTACCGACTTAAGTTTCCCGCCTGTCTGGCTGTGTGTCTCGTTTTCTTGCGTTCAATCTACAGGTCGCAATTTTGGGGATATTTTGATGAAATCTGCTAGACTGACATGTTTTGGCCCGAGGACGAACATTATTGAAAATGGTTAGAATCGAATGACTTTTTTGAAAACTTTCCATATGCAGACCTACTTTATGTAGTCGTTAGAAAAATAACTGTAGGTGGTGTACATTATTTAATGGTGGTTCACGTACCTCTATTGCTTTCCCAATTTTTTTTTTGTTATTATTGATCTAACTGATGTGGTGAACTTGTTTTGAAATAATTTTCAAAAATTTCACATTCGTCTTTGCGCGGAGCATTTTACGCGTTCAAGCGTTGATTGAACGGAAATTCAATTAATTATTCAACCATATGTTTTAGAAATGAAAAATGAATTTTTAACAATTTCCGCTGTTTTTTTTTTATTGCTTTCTATCAAATTTAAATAATGTTTAATTCTAGACTGTTAAGTTGAATGAAAACTTATACAACAACAAATAGACTTATTTGCAGTGAAAGATTTATGGGCTGCTTATTTTCTTTTTTTTTTGTTTATAATATTTATTCTTGACCTTATCATCACCGTACATTATTATTTAATAATAAATTGTTTATATATTTGTTGTTTTTATTGCAAAGTCAATAACTGTATAGAAGAGTGTATTGAAATTTATTTAATTATAATTTCATAAATAGATTTTAATATACTATACAATTTGATTTGATATAGATTTTTATTCAATTTCATATTGGCGTAGTAAAAATGAAGGCATAGTAACTTTGTGGACACATTTAGGGATATATATTTTTTTTTGGGTCAGAAGTGATTTAACGAAGTCTATGCACTTGTCGAAAGTGCATAAAACTAAGTTTTCCAAATTAATAAAGATTTCATAAAATAAGCCCACAATGAATAAAAATGTTGGAAACAGATTAGTTCGGTTCGCTGTCGAAGAGAGAGTGCAAGTGATACTGTAGGATGTATGTATGATACCGTGACTTCTTAGTATGAAGGAATTCGGTCCCATTTACCAATACTCACTCAGGAAATGTTTGTAATGGTAATCTGCAATGTCTTATCCTTTATGCTGGTGTCAACATAGGTTATTCTTTCCACTCAATAATAGATGACCCACCATTTGCTCGAACGGTGCTTTTGATCTTTATGACGACTCCGAAATATGGATTCCCTCATTTTCCCGATATGAAATTCGAAAATTAATTGAGAAGTGGACAAAAGTTTTATCCAGATAGGATTAATATTTTGATTAAATACATTTTCAAACAGAAAAACGGAACGAAGTGATTTTTACTTCCAGTATAATAGTTTCTATTTTAATCCCATGGATAGATTCTGTTGAGATCTTTTATGTGAATGAGTTGTAAGAAAATTGATTAAATCTTAAGAATGCGTTTTTCATACTGAAGGCGCTAGTCTGTTTATAAACGTCGTCTAAAAGGGCAATTTTTCTCCTACACATTCCAACGACTTTTTCAACATATTCCACCCATTTTTGCTGTCCTTCAAACGATTTCTCCTATTTTCAGGACCAACAGTCGCGCAGGAACTTCCAATGTTTCAAGCAAATTGACGTCGATAGCTTCATTTTTGCGGCGTGGAGATGATTTACAACAGACACTGCACAGATGGACAGTTGGTCATGCTTAAATCGATCCAGAATGTGAGGCTAATCAAGGACAAACGTACTTGGAGGGGTATCTGACGTTTCCTTTTGAGCATTGCAAATGTCATCATGTTTTATACCCCTCGGTGATGGGTATAAAACCCACCGCACGTAAGGGGGAACCCTCGGTTCGATTTGACTGAAGTAAAATGATTAGCTTTCAATACTTTTGGAATTTAGTTTAGCGTGAAAAAAAGTTATAAAATATATTTTTATTTAGACAATGCGTATTTAAATGCTCGACCTACATTTGGTAACACGGATTTATAATCTCTCAAGGCGTTAAAGAAAAAAAAGAAGCATTTGATGCGAAATTGATCTCAAAATGTCTCTGAAATCGGATGAATATGGCTATAAAACGTATATAGTTTTAATAACAGTAGGACTGAGTAACCGTTTAGTCACTTTCTTGTTTCTCTCCAAGGATGATCATTTATTGTAGCGAAAATCGGAAAAGGCACCACTGCACACTACCGTGGCACATAGCCACCCACCTTTAAACACCCTATAAATATTAATACATTTCAATAAGGCGTTACATGGGAAGTTAATGTGCAAAAATTTGGATCGGCTTTGAACCATTTTTCTAATTACCCTTCTATATGAAAGTTCAGGCAATAATAAAATATAATTTTTTAGTATTTTATAATAAAACCAAGTAAAAACGCTATACTGGGCCACAGTCCGCCAATAGAAATCCTACACCACCTACAGTTATTCATATTACGAGTTTTCAAAGTAAAGCTTGGCATGGAAGGTGGTCGAAAAACATTCTAAATAGTTTTAATAGCTTTCGTCCCCGGGGCCAGATGGACGGACGGACAAGTTTAGATTGACATAATAAAGAGTGGGTTCATTTTAAGTTCTTCTGGATGTTGCACACATCCGCACAAACTTAATCTCATACTCTTATATCACAAGTGGTATAGGCCAACTCTTTTTATTGCCTTCTAGCAATTTTTTTAGTCAAAAAGACTAGATTACTTAGGAAGAAGGTTTTTAATAGTTTTTGTCCCCGAGAGAAGACAGACAAGGCAAGCTTAGATTTATAAAAACAAAAAAAATAGGTCCATCGTAAATCCTTCTGGATGTTACAAACATTCGCACAAACTTAATCTTGTGCTGTTGTGCCGCAAGTAGTACAGTCCAACTTTTTGTATTGCCTCCTCGATGGTCCTAATAATTTAGTTTAGCTAAAAAGACGACTGCTTAGTAGGAGGGAAGAGCCTTTTGAACACACTGGGGTGTGTTTATGTCAACAAAGTTTCAATAGACACTTAGGAAATTTTTGGTTACCCGTTGCTACCTGCCCGCAATTACTTGCATGCTTATAAAACATTTAATTAACCTAGTTTTGAAATATAAAAAAATTAAACATCTTTTCATTTTTAGAAAAATATATATAAAACATTTAATTAACCTAGTTTTGAAATATAATTTTTTCTTGTAATTTGTTTTTTGATTTTATATTTTTGTTCTTGACTATTCTTTACTTAGGTGTGCAGAAAATGCTCAGAAATGCTGCAAGAAAATTGAATAAGAATATTAAACAACAACACCGTCTTCCATACCTAACACGGTCAACTAGCTGCAGTAGCGTAACCGTTATTATTAATTATAATAAAAAACTTAGAAACCGGAAAACGAAAAAACAATTTCAAACATTCTTAAAAAATTCAACTGAAATCAAATTCATGATATTAATGCACTGAACGTTAATTTAACCGATAAAATAATCAATAGCGTAAGGAAGCATTTAAACGGCTCGCAGATTATCAACAAGGACGACTGTATTATAAAGAATAGTCATAAAAACTGCGATAATAATAAAATTTTGTGTGTCTTATAATAAAAGAGACGGAGCAATAATAATAAGAGCCTTTTCCCAATCCCAAGGAAGCCAGTGACCGTCTAACGACTTTAAGAAAGAGAAGAATTACAATTGACAACTTTAATAATCTAAGAAGAGAAGAGCAACGGATTCAATCGCCCCACCACCATCAACGGCAACATCAACTACAACGACAAACGGAAAAGCAATGGGAATATCAAGAAAAATCTTTAAATAATGGAAAAGTCGCTAAAACAGTAGGAGCAACAACAAATAATAAAAAACTTAACCTTAAAAGATCATTTTTTCCCAATACGAAGCAAGTCAGTGACCGTTTAGCGACTTTAAGAAAGAGAAGAATTACAATTGCCCACTTTAATGACCTAGGAAGAGAAGAGCAACGGCATCAATCGCCACAAATCTGTTCAAATGAGACGAAAGAATCTCTAAATAATAACAACAATAGTAATAACAATCGCGTAGAACAAAATTTAAAAAAACCAGGTAAGCAAAGAAGATGTTACCCCATCTTTCTCTTTAACTTAAGGAACTTAACATAACAATCGTTTCGTTTCACACTGTTCCCCATAAAGCTGACAATTTTTGCATATTTTAACCCCGTGAAGATATTTCCAAAAACCGATGATCAACATGTAGATCGTTCTGGAACTGATCGCGGAACGACACGCTGGCAGTTACCAGATTTTTTCAAAATATTTTCACAGGATCGAAAGTTATAGATAAACGGACGAGGTTGGCTCGCTTGCTCATTTCTGGTGAGCGTGTATGCAGACAGTATTCGCAATCATATTTTTAACATTGAATTCTTAATTGATCAGGGAAAGTGCTTGTACCAACTGTCAGCTTCTTATCTTTATTTTTACAGTTGTGGTAAATCCAACAAAAAATGGGATTAATATAATCTATTTTAATAGAAATAGATGTATGTCGTTATCTCGAAAGGCATAGCAGGTGGAAAAAGAATTGATTATAGATATTTTCAATTAAAATGAGGGACGTCGGTAGTTCTGACATTAGGAGAAAGTAAAGCAATATAATAATTCTCATTTTCGAAATAAATAAAAACTGTACATTTAATCACCTTACGAAATCTTCTCACCTTCTTCCAGAAGAGTAGATTTATTACTTTATTATAACACCTAGAATGACTTCACAACACACCACCAAGCGTTTCAGAATCATTTTCTCTACCGATCCAAGTTTGTCCGTGCGTCTTTTCTGTAAGGTATTTCACGGCAGACCGTGTCTCACTATATTGTTTTTACTTATCAGATATTAGTTTTTAGCAATTTAAGTGAATTTTGAATAATCAGCAGACGGGCAGACAAGTTGAAGTCGGCATGATAAAAAGTAGGTCTATGTAATGTCTTTCTCGATGTTACGTAGATCTGCATGAAATTAATATACCATTGTATCACAAGCGGTGTAGTATATAAAAACGTTTCTAATTACTATGCCAACAAGGCGAATCGAAAATTATTTCAGCTGATCTCACAACAGTCATACTAAGCTACCAAGAAAAGCACACAAATCGATAACATAGCCCGAATACAAAGTCTCGTTACTTTTTGTCCAACGCAGTTTGGTATCTAGCGCAAACGACGTAATATTGTAAATGAACGTTAATAATTTTTCGATATAATATGTATTTTCAAATTTCTCTTTCTTTCCCTCTTTCTCCTAACTTAACTGAGTATATGCCTTGCCTTTCTGTGGGCATCGTATAAAATTGTTCAACATATTTTGGTGTAGCCTTTAAAGAAATAGTATGTACTGAACCAAGAGGAGCCAACTTTACGAATTAGATTTTGATTTACTTTTTTGTATCCTAAAACACTTTTGGAATGTTCAGATAGGCTTATCTCTTATTATACCGAACAATGCAGAATTTAAGCTTTTCCGCCTGGCTGTCCATCCGTTGGTCGGTCCCTTTATCTGTCTTATTTTCTTGTGTTCAAGTCGCAACTCGCAATTTTCGAAATATTTTGATGAAGTTTGGATTTTTGGTCTAAGGACGAAAGCATTGTGTTCAACGTACAAGTTGCATTTTTTAAGATATTTCGATAAAATTCATTTTTTGGCCGGAGGACGAAAGCGCTATTGAAAATGGTTCGAATAGGGAATTTTTTTTATCACTTCCATAAAAGGCCTTATTTCAAGCAGTCGACACGTAAATGACGAATTATTAAACGAAGTGGTGCGAATATATAAGGGTGCCTCGTGACCCACTTATTACTTCTTTATATTCACTCAATCTGAATAAAATATTGTTACGAAAATCCTAAATCCAGTTAATTTCGCCTAAGTAATTTTCCCTAATAAAAAATTCCCTAAAGAAGGAAAACCAAAGAAGCATTCGAAGGCGCCTCATGCAGCTACAGGCCGATGAAAACGATTAGCGGAAAAGCAGCCTGGGATTAGAAATAAAACCATAAATTTAGGTATAAGTAACATGCTTGTAAAAATGTATATAAATAGAATATTTGTGGAAGGGAGCAAGAACATTTGAGCTAAGAGTACCGCTAAAATAAATTGTAAATAAATGATCTTACTGTTAAGGAATATAATTGCAAATCAAAGAACTTTGAAGTGTACTTCTCTTGAATAAAATATCCGCGATTTAGTGATACAGACTGTATCTTAGTAAAAGCGAATTTCATAACAATATGATTATTATTACAATTAATCGTCTGAGGTTATTGGCTTTATGAAAAATCTACGACGCTTGAGATTTGAACCCGCGACCAATCAATAAAATATTTTGTGTATTTTACATAAAATTTACTAGTGTGAGCTGGACTCGATAAATAAAAATAAATAAAGAAAACCTTCATTGCTATATTTCTTATCAGCCTACTGTAGATATACAGGATCTTATTCAATTGGATGATGCTATGGAAGATGAAGAATTACGTTGTGGGCCTAATGGGGGTCATGTATTCTGCTTGGAATTTCTTATTGAAAATCAGGAATGGCTGAAATCGCAATTAATTGGCGCTGATCCAGATAATGAAGTAAGCACAGATCCCGACGATGATTATATTCTATTTGATATGCCGGGACAAATTGAGTTATTTACGCATTTAACAATGGGCAAAAAATTGGTACAATTGTTGGAGTCGTGGAATTTTCGTATATGCACCGTTTTTTTGATTGATTCTCAATTTATGATAGACGGAGCGAAATTTCTATCGGGTACAATGGCGGCTTTAAGAGTTATGGCAAATTTAGAAATGCCGCATGTAAATGTTTTAACTAAAATGGATTTATTAAGTAAAAGTGCACGAAAACAATTAGATAAATACTTGGATCCCGATCCGAGGGCTTTACTTAACGATTTGAAAACAGAATCCGCTTCGGGACGTTCACATCGCAAATTATCGGAAGCTATTGGAACATTGATAGAAGATTTTAGGTAAACCTTTATTATTTGTTTCTACTTTCTCAGCGTAATTTCTCCTAGGCGGCTTCAACCCTTTATATCGCACGCAAGGCTATATTAAGATCGAGCGAATGTAAGCAACGCCCAAAAGAACTTGAGGTTGATATGTCTATTATTAAACCGATTGATCCAAGATCACTTCCTAAATCAATCCACGCTTGTCTGTCCGTCTGTCCATACAGTTTTCTTGTGTTCAGCCTACAGCTTGCTATTTTCGTGGAAATGTTGACCCAAGGACAAACTGACACACCACTTCCCGTATGGCATCGTATTTTGAAAAGTCGTTATGTTAATAGCGGTAGGGTGGCGTAGCCCACTATAGTGTTTTCTCACTCGTTTTGTCGCAATTCATTACTTTCTCGTCATAATCTATTCCAAAATAATCTAGATATTTTCTAACCAGCCAGGCAGGCTTACTCTTTTTCTTAATATGCCTAGCAGAATTTACTTTGTCGAATTTCGACTTGATCAAAACGTAAGTTATTTTCTTCTATTTGATAATTATTTTAATTTAATTTTCACTTATCACATAAAAAAAAAAGAAAGAAAAGATTTATTTTCGTTGAAACACAAACAAGTTAAAATGTAGAAGCTTTCCTTGTAGGATGGAATGGATGTTGCATATGTGACATATCCGGAGGGTTCTGCTCAAAGTGGATAATTTCTTTCATTCCGGTATTACCAATATCCCATAAAGTTGGATATTCACGTTTAAATGTCTGATACCATTTCCATACTAAAGGATAAGATTTCAAATCAAATTCAATAGCTTCGACACATAAAGCAAAATCTGCTATAGTCAAATGATTGCCTGCAGCATATTTTGCGCCTAAACGTCTCAAATATGTTTCAAAAACACTTAAAGCATTCCGTACTTTCTTCAAGCCCAATTCGGTCCGTTCGTAATCAAAAAGGATGGGAGCCATAGTATAAGGTGATATACTTGCATAATAGAATGACATATTAAAACATAAACGATGATTAACTAAAGCTCTTGCTTTTGGTGTTTTTGGATACAATGGAGTCTCATCAGCATATTTATCGCACAGATATTGCATAATAGCTACACTT